TAGGTTTCAGCAGAGCTTCCAGACTAAGACGACTAGGAAGAAGGCCTGCTAATCTATTTCCGAAAATTAGCCATTGGAAACCCTATGAATCACAAAGGTCCAATCCATAGCCTGTCATGGGGATGAAACACGACTGGGCGGTATTTTGTTCCATTGTGCAGAGGGTCGCCATGAGGTAGGGGCCAATTCTACTTCAGCTAACAACAACCACCCAAGACAATAATTATTCTGTTCAACAAGAATGTACCAAGAACCACTTACAAGCCAGGGCCTGTGCTAAATGCTAGGGACGTACCAGGAGATAAGAAAGCCAGACCCTGCTTTTATGGAGCTTGTAGCATAGGGGGTGGTGTGGAGGGAGCGAGAACAGACAGATGAGTAGACAGGCCATTGCAACACAGAGTGATTAGCCCTATCTATGACTGGGGGTGCAAACATACCAACCATTGTGAGGATGGTGCAGTACCGGGCAATGTTTTGTTCTATTATACATAGGGTTGCTGTGAGTTGGAGCCAACTTAATGGCAACTTACAACAACAATATGATTGGCAGACAGGGTTGAGCTAAGATGTGTGGGGTAGTACCTTGGTGCTCTTTCAAACATGGTGCTCTCTAGTATTTATTCAGAATTTACTGGTATTTATTTGGGAGAAGCTGGAGCGGGAGAGGGTCTAGTGGGGCAGGTGGCCTTCCAGGCCCAGCTTGCCTCCTCTAGCGTAATCCAGAACCGCCGCAGTCTGGCCCCGAACCACAAGTCCCACTCAGCGGAGCAGCAGCCCTGCAACCCACCCTCTCTAGAAGGCAGTGTGAGCGCCAGTTCCTGTGACTCCAACTTGCCTCCCCAGACTTGTCAACGTGCACCTCTGGTCCCAGGGGACATGCCCGGAGTGCTTTCTCCATCTCATCACATTTCCAAGGAGAGACTGCTGTCCCAGGACTGCCCTGTGGCCTTTCCCCAAATTTGGCTTGGTGGGGATTGGCAACCCAACTCAGGTATGGAGGAGTGGGGAACAGCCAGAAAAGGGTTCCTGGGGGAAAGGATGGCTAAAATGAGGCTGGAGGTATAAATAGAAAGATAGCCAGGCAAAACCAGGTGGGGGAAGGTGAGAAAATATTACAGGTAATCAAAGTATTACAGGTAGAGGACACAGCATGGGTAAAGATGAATGCTGCCACCGCACTGTCACTGTTGTACTGTGGTGGCTTGCATGTTGCTATGATGCTGGAAGCTATGCCACAGATGTTTCAAATACCAGCAGGGCCAACCATGGCAGACAGGTTCCAGTGGGGCTTCCAGACTAGGAAGAAAGGCCTAGCAATCTACTTCCAAAAATTAGCCAATAAAAACCCTACGGATCACAACAGAATATTGTCTGATACAGTGCTGGAAGATGAGCCCCCCTAGGTTGGAAGGCACTCAAAATACACTGTGGCCACAGCAGTGGTCTCAAGTATACCAATGATCTTTAGGATGGCGCATGACCAGGCAACGTTTCATCCTGTCGTACATGAGGTTGCCATGAGTTGGAGCTGACTTAATGGCAACTAACAAAACAGAATGAGTGGGGTTGTGTGTGGCATGTTCAGGATGCTCAAGGTAGTTTAGAATGAATGGCATGATGAGTTAAAGATGGGGAGGGAGAGATGGGCCTGGAGAAGTTTTAAAAAGTGCCCAGTAAACCCTGTGAAGAGTGTGGACTTTGACCATGGAAGGATGTTAAGAAGCTGGGCGATAACTTCATATCTGCATTTCAGAAAGTTCTCTCTGGACACAATGCTGCACCATGCAGTGGCTACAATGAATGGATTAGTTCAGAGCTACCAGGAACAGATGCACATCTCAAAAACTTTATTATAGAGTGTCAAAAGGACTCAGGTACCAACTTGAAGAAGCTCGCACTGTCCAAAGATGGGTCCATTTGAACATGTGAGTAAGAAGTAAGTGCAAAGGATTGAAACATATAAAATGTGTTAAAATCCATGAGTTTATCGTCATACTAAAAACTTTGCAGGTCACTTTTGGAGGATGCTGGAGAACTAATTCATTATTCTGAAAACTCTAAATAAAGAATCAAGTGTTTAACAAGCTTGTCCTGTAAGGCCCACATAGTAAT